ATCTAAGGGATTACCAATAACAGTTCCTTGTTGTTCATTGTTAATTGCATTATCCTTACACAACCCATCCTCATCCCTGGAGTTTTGCTTACAAAAGCAAAGCAGTAATGAACAATGTATTAATTTCCGAAACCCCAAAAAGGTTGATGCTTCAGCCGTTGCTTAAACATATGCAAAACAGATGGCAGGTGTGTAAGCGTCAGTCCCCAAATCCCATCGGCAATCCACACCTGCAATGGGGTTATTCATGTTGCTTGTCTTTGCCTTCTGTTTTCAATCTCAGGGTGCCTGAGCTATTGTTTAGTGCCCTTGATTCGGACATTTTGATTTTTTCCATTTTTGTTTATGATGTGCCATCCAGAGCTGGTTTTGACTGCCAGTGGTTTTGCACAAAGGCCTGTGCTGTTATGGCAGACGATGAAGAAGAATTATGAGGCTAAACTCGATACAGAGCAGCGTTTTTATACGTCGGTCCAGCATTTGTTTGAGTTATTATTTGAATGTATTATTTTCTATATGCTTGCTGCCTTCCTAAATGACTGTTATAAGCATTTTATAGCCACTGGCAGGCTAATAAGCGGACATACTGTAGCTTGAAAAGTCTGAGGTGTCGTCTCTTCCCAAGCTTTTGTATGCAGTATGTGTAGCATTTCTAGGTAACTATGTTCTCCATGGAGAGAAGGATATAACCATAGTGAAAAAAGGCAGGTGAAAAAAGGCAGGTTGCACCTTGTTTACATCTATTATCACAGATAACTGATACTGTATAATACACCTATAATAAACAGTGCATTCAGAAAATATTCACACCCATCGACTTTTTCCACATTTTGTTGTGTTACAGACTGAATTTAAAATAGACTAAATTGAGGTGTTGTGTCACTGGTCTACACACAATACACACAAAAAGTACAAATGTATTTTTGGTAATTATGTTTTTAAACAAATTAATACAAAATTAAAAGCTGAAATGTCTTGAGTCAATAAGTATTCAAACCCTTTTTTATGGCAAGCCAAAATAATTGCACGAGTAAAAATTAGCTAGTCGTGTTTAACATGATTTTTGAATGACTACCTCATCTCTGTTCCCCATGCATCCAATTATCTGTAAGGTCCCTCAGTCGAGCACTGAATTTCAAACACAGACTCAACCACAAAGACTAGGGAGGTTTTCCTATTGGTAGATTGGTAAAACAAATTAAAGCAGACATTGAGTAGCCCTTTGAACATGGTGAAGTTATTAATTACACTTTGGATGGTGTATCAATACACCCAGTCACTACACTATTCAGGTACAGACGTCCTTTGCTGGAGAGGAAGTTAACCACTCAGGGATTTCACCATGAGGCCAATGGTGACTTTAAAACAGTTACAATGTTTAATGGCTGTGATAGGAGAAAACTGAGGATGGATCAACAACATTGTAGTTACTCCCCAATATTAACCTAAATTACAGAGGGAAAAGAAGGAAGCTTGTACAGAATAAAGATATTCCAAAACATGCATCCTGTTTGCAAATGTGGCAAAGAAATGAACTTTATGACCCGAATACAAAGCATTATGTTTGGGGCAAATCAAACACAACACATCACTGAGTACCATTCTTCATATTTTCAATCATCGTGGTGGCTGAATGTTATGGGTATGCTTGTCATCGGCAAGAACTAGGGAGTTTTTTTAGGATAAAAATAAATGGAATAGTGCTAAGCACAGGCAAAATCCTAGAGGAAATCCTGGTTCAGTCTGCTTTCCAAGAGACACTGGGAGACAAATTGACCTTTCAGCAGGACAATAACCTAAAACACAAGGCCAAATATACACTGGAGTTGAATGTTCCTGAGTGGGCTAATAACAGTTTTGACTTAAATCAGCTTGAAAATCTATGACAAGACTTGAAAAGGGCTGTCTAGCAATGATCAACAACCAACTAGACAGAGCTTGATTAATTTTTAAAAGAATAATGTGCAAATATTGTACAATCCAGGTCTGCAAAGCTCTTTTATATATTTTTATTTCACTTTTATTTTATCACGGAGTCATACTGAGACCAAGGTCTCTTTTACAGATGAGCCCTGAATTACAGAAATTACAGAAAATACACACATCAATCAATATAAATACAAAATGCAAGCAGAAAGAAAGAAAAACATGGTCATAAAAAAAACACATTCATCAGTAATAAGGTCCTCAATCAGCTTTCTGAATTGCCCGAAAGGCACCAAAACATCACATTTAAGAACATTTTGAAGATAGTTCCACAAATAAGGTGCAAGAAAACTAAAACTAATTTACTTAACTCAGCAGAAACCAAAGGAATTTCCAGAGTTAGCCATCCCTGAGACTGGGTGTGGTAACTCGTATGCCTAAAGTTTAGTAATGATGTTGGGTACAGTGGGACTTTTTGTAAATGAAAACATAGCAATGTATCAACCTACGTGACATCAATGTATCAACCTACGTGCCAACCAACTTTCTGATAGAGAATACAATGATGAGTACTAAAATTGTCGCCCATAATAAAGCGCAGAGCGCTATGATAAACTGCATCTAACGGCTTTAATGAAGTGGCAGCTACGTTCATGTAGATGACGTCGCCATAGTCTAGGACCGATAGGAACGTCGACTGAATAATCAACTTTCTACAATTTAGAGAGAAGCAGGACCTATTTCTATAGAAGAAGACCATTTTATTCTCAACTTTACTAACTCATCAATATGCTTTTCAAAAGATAGCTTGTCATCTATCCAGATGCCCAAATATTTGTAAGCAGGGACACGATCAATATGGACACCATCCAAAGTACATACAGTTCATTCCAGTGATTCAGACCCCTTCACTTTTTCCACTTTTTGTTACATTACAGACTTATTCTAAAATTGATTAAATAAATAAAAAGTCTCATCAATCTACACACAATACCCCATAATGACAAAGCAAAAACCGGTTTTTAGAAATTAAAAAAACAGAAATAGCTTGTTTACATAATTATTCAGACCCTTTGCTGTGAGACTCGAAATTGAGCTCAGGTGCATCTTGTTTCCATTGATCATCCTTGATGTTTCTAAAACTTGATTGGAGTCCACCTGTGGTAAATTCAATTGATTGGACATGATTTGGAAAGGCACACACCTGTCTATATAAGGTCAAATAAAATAAAATGTTATTTGTCACATGCACTGAATACAACAAGCCCTTAACCAACAATGCAGTTTTAAGAAAAATAATAAACTATGCAACAATAAAATACACTACCATTCAAAAGTTTGGGGTCACTTAGAAATGTCCTAGTTTTCGAAAGAAATGCATTTTTTTTGTCCATTAAAATAATATCAAATTGATCAGAAATACAGTGTAGACATTGTTAATGTTGTAAATGGCTATTGTAGCTGGAAACGGCTGATTTTTAATGGGATATCTACATAGGCGTACAGAGGCCCATTATCAGCAACCATCAGTCCTGTGTTCCAATGGCACGTTGTGTTTGCTAATCCAAGTTTATCAATTTAAAAGGCTAATTGATCATTAGAAAACCCTTTTGCAATTATGTTATCACAGCTGAAAACTGTTTTGCTGATTAAAGAAGCAATAAAACTGGCCTTCTTGAGACTAGTTGAGTATCTGGAGCATCAGCAATTGTGGGTTCGATTACAGGCTCAAAATGGCCAGAAACAAATAACTTTCTTCTGAAACTCGTCAGTCTATTCTTGTTCTGAGAAATGAAGGCTATTCTATGTGAGAAATTGCCAAGAAACTGAAGATCTCGTACAACGCTGTGTACTACTCCCTTTACAGAACAGCGCAAACTGGCTCTAACCAGAATAGAAAGAGGAGTGGGAGGCCCCGGTGCACAACTGAGCAAGAGGATAAATACATTACAGTGTCTAGTTTGAGAAACAGGCGCCTCACAGGTCCTCAACTGGCAGCTTCATTAAATAGTACCCGCAAAACACCAGTCTCAACATGAACAGTGAAGAGGCGACTCCAGGATGCTGACCTTCTAGGCAGAGTTGCAAAGAAAATGCCATATCTCAGACTGCCCATCTTAATCTTCTCTTTTTATTGGCCAGTCTGAGATATGGCTTTTTCTTTGCAACTCTGCCTAGAAGGTCAGCATCCCAGAGTCGCCTCTTCACTGTTGACGTTGAGACTGGTCAACCGTGGAGGCAATAGCATACACAACAGTATTTTATTTATTTATTTAACCTTTATTTAACCAGGAAGGGCTCATTGAAATTTGAAATCAATTTTTCAAGAGCGTCTTGGCCAAGATAAGCAGTGCCAAGTCATTACACAATTACAGACAAATAACATGAAAACTACAAGGAATCTAGTAAAAGCCATAGAAAGTGTTACGAACTCAAAAAAACGCAATTTAAAAACATTGACAGGTCAAGGAATCAGCCTCAAAATCCTTCATCAATCATTTAAAAACACCAATCGGTACAAGTTCTTCCAGTTTAAATCTATTTTGTAAGGCGTTCCAAGCCTGACTAGAGAAGGCCAGCCAACCCTGGTTTATAAAGTGCAGTGGTGCGACAGGGTTTTGCAGTTTAAAATAAATCTCAATGCGCCATGGTAAAGGGTGTCAATTGATCTCAAACACTGAGAGGAAGCATTCATATATAAAGTATCTCCATAGTCTAGTATAGGCATAAATGTAGCTGAACTAGCCTCCTTCTGGCTTCAAAAGAAAACAGCCTATTTCCAATATGTAAGTGGTTCAGCTATGAAATCAGCTGCCAGTTTAAAAAGCAGGGATCAAGAAGATCATGACCTGCAGGCTTTCTCTGATCTAAAGATTTCAGGGGTTTATGTACCTCCTGCACTGAGAATGGCAAAAAGCTAAAAGTTTGACCAGCTCTCACCGGTTCATCTACACAGGGTTGTACAGAGACAGAGGATACTGAATCAAACAGCCTACCAGATGATACAAAATGCTAATTGAAACTATTCTGCATTTCAGTTTTGTCATATACAGCAGCAGAGTCCTTCAATACACATGACGGTAATTCATTAACATTACTGTTACCAGACATAGACTTAATAGCCTTCCAAAACGTTCTAGGGTCTTTCAGGTTATCAGTGGTAACAGACATAAAATATTCAGAGAATAGAAAAGAAGAGAAGAACACTTGTTTCGTAGCTGCCTAAAAAGAAGCCAATCAGCATCAGAACATGATTTCCTTGCCTTAGCCCAGGCTAGATTACGTTCGTGAATAATACAAGACAGCTCAGAAGAAAACCATGGATTATCCCGCCCTTTAACTCTGAACCTGTGGAGTGGGGCATGTTTGTTTATTATTTGGAGAAAAAAAATCATGAAAGAATTTCCAGGCAGTTTCCACATCAGGAATAAGCTCAATCTTGCTCCAGTCAAAATAAAACAAATCATGAAAGAAAGCCTGCTAATTAAAACTCTTAAAATGTATCTTACGAATAAAGCATGGGTTTGTTTTAGGAACCTTAGTATTTGTAACCAGCAACAACAGCACAATGGTCACTTAAATCATTACAGAAAACACCAACCAGCAGAATATTAATGTGGAACATTTGTCAATATCAAATCAATCAGGGTAGATTTCTCTGGACATTTGAGATTTGGGCGGGTGGGTGAATTAATCAACTGGGTAAGATTCATACTATTACAATACATTTATAAATCATCAGACACCGGCTTTAACCAACACCAGTTGAGATCAACAGTCAAGATCATTTCACTGTAAATAAGTTTAGACATAAGGTGCATCAGAGAAGAGAATGCGTCACAGAGAGCAGAGGGGGGTCTATAACAGCCAATCACAGTTATAGAGAGACCCTTTGAAACCTCAAGATTCAAAGCAAGAAATTCCAACTGTTTACAAATAGTTTTAGACTTTGCCACACTTACAAGGAATTTAGTATTTACATACAGTATATAGCCACATCCCCACCTTTCTTAACTCGATCAGTGCGATACACATTGTAACCATTTATACAAATATCCTTATCAAGAACAGACTTGCTGAGCCAGGTTTCAGAAAGCACAATTACAGTTGAAGTCGGAAGTGTACATACACCTTAGCCAAATACATTTAAATTCAGTTTTTCACAATTCCTGACATTTAATCCTAGTAAAAATTAGTTAGGATCACCACTTTATTTTAAGAATGTGAAATGTCAGAATAATAGTAGAGACAATGATCTATTTCAGCTTTTATTTATTTCATCACATTTCCAGTGGGTCAGAAGTTTACATACACTCAATTAGTATTTGGTAGCATTGCCTTTAAATTGTTTCACTTGGGTCAAACATTTTGGGTAGCCTTCCACAAGCTTCCCACAATAAGTTGGGTGAATTTTGGCCCATTCCTCCTGACAGAGCTGGTGTAACTGAGTCAGGTTTGTAGGCCTCCTTGCTCGCACACACTTTTTCAGTTGTGCCCACACATTTTCTATAGGATTGAGGTCAGGGCTTTGTGATGGCCACTCCAATACCTAGACTTTGTTGTCTTTAAGCCATTTTGCCACAACTTTGGAAGTATGCTTGGGGTCATTGTCCACTTGGAAGACCCATTTGCAACCAAGCTTTAACTTCCTGACTGATGTCTTGAGATGTTGCTTCAATATATCCACATAATTGTCCTTCCTCATGATGCCATCTATTTTGTGAAGTGCACCAGTCCGTCCTGCAGCAAAGCACCCCCACAGCATGATGCTGCCACCCCCGTGCTTCCCCCAAAAAACTATAGTTTGTTAACAAGAAATGTGGTGGAGTGGTTGAAAAACGAGTTTCAATGGACTCCAACCTAAGTGTTGTAAACATTCCTGACGTTCACACTGGATCATATACCACGCACCGCTATTTTTTTGTGTATTTTTTTTAACAAGTTATTTTATTTATTTCACTTCACCAATTTTGACTATTTTGTGTAGGTCCATTACATGAAATCCAAATAAAAATCAATTTAAATTACAGGCTGTAATGCAACAAAATAGGAAAAAACGCCATGGGGGACGAATACTTTTGCAAGGCACTGTAGATTAACAAGAATTTAAGCTTTCTGCCCATATAAGACATGTCTATGTCCTGGAAAGTTTGCTGTTACTTACAACAGTCATGCTAATCACATTAGCGCACGTTAGCTCAACCGTCCCGTATACAGGACACCGATCCCGTGGAGGTTAATAAATAAAACACTAAATCCATCCAGATAATCACGTGGGTTCAAACTTTAAAGCCTCGCACGGACGAGGCAGCATATTTTGGGATATATTTCAATTTATCCCAAAAATATACAGTTGTTGCTGTTGCTGTATTCACTCCGTGTGTGTGTGAGCCCTATGGGCCCTGGTCAAAAGTAGTGCACTATATAAGGAAAAGGTTGCCATTTGGGACTCCAGTTTCCAGGAGATTTTCTGGCAGATTGAGTTTGTGCTGACTCTGGCTTTTCGCGAGGGCAGGGCTCGGTACGGCTGGTGTTTAACCCAGCCAAAGCTAGGGGGATTAGGCCACCGCAGAGCGTCGGACCGAGTGAATCTTCTTATTGCACAACCTGATGGGCCTCCGCTGATAATCATCTTTTAAACACAGCACTTTAAAATGGTGTGCCTTTTTTGGTGTGTGTAATAAATCGTAAGCCAGCCCGGGGATGGCTTTTCCACTTTAATGCTTCATAAACTGTCCAAGGTAAACAGTGTGTGTGTGTGTGTGTGTGTGTGTGTGTGTGTGTGTGTGTGTGTGTGTGTGTGTGTGTGTGTGTGTGTGTGTGTGTGTGTGTGTGTGTGTGTGTCTGTGTCTGTGTGTGTGTGCAGTATTAGTTCATTGGCTTAAACCCACACTTCCCCATGTCCATTTGGTTTGGAACTGATATTTGGACCCCCTATGATGATGTATTTGGTGATAGTGGTTTATTATAGTAGAAATCCATCACCATCCTGTAAATCTATTTGTTGTTCTGCAGCTGACATAGCTATAATACACACGTCATATTATACTAAATATATCAGGTTCTACTTACAATATATCAACATGACAAATAAATACTCATGTAACACAATTATTATTATGAGTATTGTTTAAAGTGACCATTATCATATTGGTGTGGGGCAGTTCAATAGGGATTGTGTAGGCGGTGGAACGGTCTCCGAAATGTGTTGCTTTTCCTTGCCTGTTTTTTAGCAAAGTTCTCTCACTTCCACCATACGATGTCTCCCAAGTCCCAACCCTATAGAGTGTGGTACTGCCTTCCCTCTCAAAGGATGACCTATATGACCTTCCATATTGTCATGTCAGATTTTATAGCTTGTGTTGTATATGGCTCTATCTCTTGGTGATTTTTTTTTTTTATAACTCAGTGCTGCTCAATATGGTGTCCATATTAGGTGAGACTGCTGAGACTGAGTCTGTCTTAATATGGACCCCATACTCTAGAATACAAGACAAATTCCTACAACTGAACTGACCTGCACTGAATGTAACCTTTGGTCCTCTGTCCCCTGCAGGTCATTGAGACCATCAGTGCAATGGACAGAGACAAACCTCAGAGTGGACACCGCTTCTTCTTCTCCCTGACCGCAGAGGCTGTTGGGAACCTCAACTTCACCCTGAGAGACAACAAAGGTAAGGGCAGCAGGACAACCTAAAAGAATAAGGGAGCCCTTCGTAATGAACGCCTAGTCACCAGGCAGCAGCAGCTCCACAACCCCATAGTGGTTTCCTAGCCCTGATATGGCTATTTTCCATTATCCAAACATTATATCAGAGCTAACTGTCATCATGATTAGTTGGAATCCACCAAGTATTACTATCTGAACACAATTTGATCATTGTATTGCTGCTATGCCTTCCTCCCCACAGACAACACCGCCTCTGTGCTGACCATGCGAGGGGGTTTCCAGCGTCACGACCAGACTATGTACCGCCTCCCCGTCCTCATCATGGACAGCGGGAGCCCCGCCCTCAGCAGCACCAACACCCTGTCCATACGGGTGTGCGACTGCGACCCCGATGGGGCTCCCCAGTCATGTGGGAGTGAAGCCTCCATGCTGTCAGCAGGCCTCAGCACCGGGGCCCTCATCGCCATCCTGGCCTGCATCCTCACACTTCTGGGTAAGAGGCAGACATTTTACCAAAAAACATCAGGGCCCCATCAGGCCTGCAAGCTGATTTTTTGTGGCCCCCAGACTGACTTTTCATGTCTTACTTACATTTCATATCTTATAACAGTACAAGAGAGTCAAAGCAATTATTTTATCAAAGTCGCGAGATGCCAGGCTTTCACATTAACGACTTCACTGTAGAACATCAGGCATTTATGGAAGCCCATCTCCGAAATAAAATATCTGTTTTGATATTTTAATACAGGAGCTGATGAACAGTGTTCATATACCTTTTCACGTTACACTAGTTGTACCCAGTTAATCCCAAGATGTCTTTCAAACATTGGTATGTCGCACGAACACAATAATGGTGGTGAATATCATGTAGTGTGTTGAGTAATAACGTGGGCTTTGGGAGGGGAGGACTTGTTGCCATGGCAATCATTTTGACAACACCGTGGTGCGACGTAACTTCTCTAACACCAGAACTATATGAGATGCACATGACGAAATTGTGATCCTGCTGTATTGTAAGCGTTCTAAACTTGAAGTTGTTAGCTTCGTATAAAGAAGCTTATTAATAAAGAAAGGCCAATGTTGCCAGGTACATGTATGATTGGAGTCCTATCAGGCATTGGACTCTCCGGCCCCTGTGGGACAGTAGCACTGTAATCTGGTAATAGTCCACTTAAGGTGGCCAGATTGGCTTGTTTTCTCCCAAACCTCCATTGTGATTGTTGATGTTGATTGCTGTATTTGTCTGAGTTATTTGTTGATTGTTTGATGAGAGACCGTAAGCTCGATTTGTTCCCATTCATTCTCTCCGATTAGCTAATCAGTCAGTAGTGAGGTGCTCAGAGGTAGTAAACGCCAGATGTATGGTTTGATTGTTTTCTTGTTTAGATAATTGTTTGTTTGTCACTCAAAAAAGAACATGAAAGCGGCCTGTTAGTTTATCACTCAAAAAAGGACATGAAAGTGGCATGTATGACGCAAGAATGATACTTGACTGAACTATGTACATATCAGGCTGCCTGATGAAGAGGTTGTTTAGTTTGAAACACGTTGTGTCATGAGTAACTGTGTAATGAAGTAAAATGATCTGCTCCTACTATTCTATATAGACCTACGTTTTAATGTAAGATGTCCTTGAGTGTCCTGAAAGGTGTCTTCCAAATAAAATGTATTATTAATATTATTATTATTAGGGATCCAAGCTCCGAAGGGGCTGGAAAAATCTGGTTTCTCATAGTCTGAGAGTCCTTTAGGTGCCTTTTGGCAAACTGCAAGCAGGCTGTCATGTGCCTTTTACTGAGGAGTGGCTTCCGTCTGGCCACTCTACCATAAAGGCCTGATTGGTGGAGTGCTGCAGAGGTGGTTGTCCTTCTGGAAGGTTCTCCCATCTCCACAGAGGAACTCTGGAGCTCTGTCAGAGTGACCATCGGGTTATTGGTCACCTCCCTGACCAAGGCCTTTCTCCACCGATTGCTCAGTTTGGCCGGGCGGCCAGCTCTAGGTGGTCTTGGTGGTTCCAAACTTCTTCTATTTAAGAATGATGGAGGCCACTGTATTCTTGGGGACCTTCAATGCTGCAGACATTTTTTGGTACCATTTCCCAGATCTGTGCCTCGACACAATCCTGTCTCGGAGCTCAATGGACAATTCCGTTCGACCTCACGGCTTGGTTATTGCTCTGACATGCACTGTCAACTGTGGGATCTTATATAGACAGGTTTGTGCCTTTCCAAAATCATTTCCAATCAGTTGAATTTACCGCAGGTGGACTCCTATCAAGTTGTAGAAACATGTCAAGAATGATCAATGGAAACAGGATGCACCTGAGCTCAATTTCGAGTCTCATAGCAAAGGGTCTGAATACTTATGTAATTAAGGTAGTGTACAGCATCTATAGACCAATATCTTTATATGTAACATAAATTAAGTTGATGTCTTAAACAACATGGCCGCTCTGAGCCAATGAAGTTGAGTGAGGACGTGGCCTGACACTTCAAGTATTTCAGACACTCTTGAAGGGTTGGAGCCCCCTTCTGGCTATGCATCTCAATACTCTCTCAATACTCTCCAATGTTTCCTGAAGTGTTAACTTGTCCACTACGCACATGTATTTAAAAGTATAAGATTGGCGTAAGAGATAGAGATGGAGTAAAGACCAGAAAACTCGAGATCCAGACCCAGACCAACACTAGGCCTCTTTAGACCCAGACCAAGAACTAGTGTATCGAGACCATCACTAGACCAATACCAGTTTAAATGGGGAAAAACAAGATCCAGAACTAGACCCAGACCAACCAAAGACTAAGGTACTGTACAGTAAAGTGGAGTAGAGTATAGTTCAGTATTGTACAGTACAGTAAAGTGCAGTAAAATAAGGCACAGAACAGTAATGTAGAGTACAGTACAGTAGAATTCAGACACCCAAAGCTTCTTCCTGCCTTCAGTACAGTACAATACAGTACAGTACAGTAGAGTATAGTTCGGTTCAGCACAGTACAGTATAGTACATTAAAGTACAGTACAGTATAGTTCAATACAGTAGAGTAGAGCACAATAGAGTAGAGTACAGCACAGTACAGGACAGTACAATATAGTACATCTCAATACACTATTTCCTGAAGGGTACACTTGTCCACTACCTACATGGGGGTCTTCTGTAGCTCAGTTGGTAGAGCATGACGCTTGGACCCCGGGAACATTGCTGCTTGCAGCTATATTTAGGTGTTCAGCAGCAAAGCTGGTGAAACCCTATTGTATTTGTTGGCATTCATTATTATTATACCAGGTTCTTCCGCCAACTTGGAATGATGGTAAAGGCCCATGGGCCACACCCTCTCATGCAATGTCATGCCAATTGGCCACATTGTGGCGCTATAACAAGTGATTCAAAATGCAAACTTTGAAAGCTCACACCCCTCACCCCGTTTGAGCTAGAGTCCTAAAATGTGATACATAGTTCCCTCTCCTCACAAAGAACAAATTGGCCTCAAGGACCCATAAAGTCCATCATGATGGATTGTCCGCCATTTAGAATTTTGTGAAAACACTTAAAACGATACTCCTCTGGCACCGAATTATGTTACGAAACATAATATCTGGGCTCTATGGACGAATGTCTCTCAACGCACTATTTTCCAGGCTAGTATGTCAAACAACATGGCCACTATTGACCAATAAACATTCACATGGGCGTGGTCTCGCACATAAATGCCTATAAATCAGTCACGGATATTCGTATTGTAACCAAACTTGGTACACGTTGCAAACACTGTCAAGACTCAACATATGCAAACACATTCATATCGACCACACTGTGACGCTATAACGGGCACAATTTATATCTCTTCATCTGTTTGACTCAGACTGAAATGCACAGGGATATGAGTCTAGCTAACTTGTAAAATATGGTAGTGTTTGGCCGCATTGTGGCGCTGTTGGACAGGAAAAAACATTCATGCAAGCTCACTGGCTCATAGCTGCCATATTGTTTCAGCTAAAGTCTTGGCAAATATATACAGTGCATTCGGAAAGTATTCAGACTCCTTTACTTTTTCCACATTTTGTTACGTTACAGCCTTATTCTAATATGGATTATATTACATTTTTTCCTCATCAATTTACACACAATACCCCATAATGACAAAGCGAAAACAGATTTTTTTGAAATGTTTGCAAATTTATTACAAATAAAAAACAGAAATACCTTATTTACATAAATATTCAGACCCTTTGCTATGAAACTCGAAATTGAGCTCAGGTGCATCCTGTTTCCATTGATCATACTTGACATGTTTCTACAACTTGATTGGAGTCCACCTGTGGTAAATTCAATTGATTGGACATGATTTTGAAAGGAACACACCCGTCTATATAAGGTCCCACAGTTGACAATGCATGTCAGAGCAAAAACAAAGCCATGAGGTCGAAGGAATTGTCCATAGACCTCTGAGACAGGATTGTGTCGAGGCACAGATCTGGGGAAGGGTACCAAAAAATGTCTGCAGCATTGAAGGTTCCCAAGAACACAGTGGCCTCCATCATTCGTAAACATATGAAGTTTGGAAACACCAAGACTCGTCCTAGAGTTGGCCGCCCGGCCAAACGGAGCAATCGGGGGAGAAGGGCCTTGGTCAGGTAGGTGACCAAGTACCCGATGGTCACTCATGACAGAGCTCCAGAGTTCCTCTGTGGAGATAGGAGAATCTTCCAGAAGGACAACCATCTCTGCAGTACTCCACCAATCAGGCCTTTATGGTACAGAGGCCAGACGGAAGCCACTCCTCAGTAAAAGGAACATGACAGCCCACTTGGAGTTTGCCAAAAGGTACCTAAAGGACTCTCAGACCATGAGAAACCAGATTCTCTGGTCTGATGAAACCAAGATTGAACTCTTTGGCCTGAATGCCAAGCGTCACGTCTGGAGGAAACCTGGCACCATCCCTACGGTGAAGCATGGTGGTGGCAGCATCATGGGGATGTTTTTCAGTGGCAGAGACTGAGAGACTAGTCAGGATCGAGGGAAAGATGAACTGCACAAAGTACAGGGAGATCCTTGATAAAAACCTGCTCCAGAGCGCTCAGGACCTCAGACAACGACCCTAAGTACACAGCCAAGACAACGCAGGAGTGGCTTCAGGACAAGTCTCTAAATGTCCTTGAGTGGCCCAGCCAGAGCCCGTACTTGAACCCGATCGAACATCTCTGGAGAGACCTGAAAATAGTTGTGCAGCGACGCTCCCCATCCAACCTGACAGAGCTTGAGAGGATTTGCAGAGAAGAATGGGAGAAATTCCCCAAATACAGGTGTGCCAAGCTTGTAGCGTCAAACCCAAGAAGACTCAGGGCTGTAATCGCTGCCAAAGGTGCTTCAACAAAGTACTGAGTAAAGGGTCTGAATACTTACAGTGGGGAGAACAAGTATTTGATACACTGCCGATTTTGTCTTGCTTTGCTTTGTTTTAGATTCCTTCTCTCACAGTTGAAGTGTACCTATGATAAAAATTACAGACCTCTACATACTTTGTAAGTAGGAAAACCTGCAAAATCGGCAGTGTATAAAATAATTGTTCTCCCTACTGTATGTAAATTTGATATTTATTTGCTAAAATTTCTGCTTTTGCTTTGTCATTATGTGGTATTGTGTGTAGATTGATGAGGGGAAAAAGTGAAGGGGTCTGAACTTGCACTGTATACCAGATTTGGTGCCGATCGATCCAGCGGTTCTGGAGAAGAAGACGTTTAAAGTAGTCAACATCATTGAAAATTGTCCAAAATGCAGCAAAAGCATATTGCACCATCAGTTTGATTTTGAATTCTGATTTGACAAGCTTGGTGAACAGTACAGAAGTAGCTCATCCCAGGGCAATGTGTCCAATTTGTCCTGATTGTGGCACGGTGGGCATGCAGCTGAATCTCTGCAATGCAGCTTGCAGCTTTAATTATAATTATTATTATTATTATTATTAATATTATTAACAGTTCAGTAAATTATAATTTTCGTATT